TTTAGATCTTTGATCCATTTTGATTTTAGTTTAGTGCATGGTGAAAGATATGGATCTAGTTTTAATCTTCTGCATGTGGAAAGCCAGTTTTTCCAGCACCATTTATCAAAGAGGCTTTCCTCCAGTGAAGGCGTTGGCTCTTTTGTGAAAGATAAGGTGGCTGAGTGTGTTGGAGTTGTTTCTGCATCTTCTAGTCTGTTCCATTGATCCTTGGGTCTGTTTTTGTTTTGTTTTGCCAGTACCATGCTGCTTAAAAATCACAGTAGTTTCATAGCATACTCATTTCAAGTCAGGAATTGTGATGCCCCCTGCCTTGCCTTTGTTGCCCAGAATTGCTTCTGCTATTCTAGGTCTCTTCTGGTTCCAAATGAATTTTAGATTGTTTTCTCTAATTCTGTGAGATATGCTACTGGTATTTGATTGAGATTTCATTAAATTTTAGAAGTATGACAATTTTCACTATATTGGTTCTTCCTACCCAAGAACAAGGGATGTCTTTCCATTTTCTGATATTCTCTTCAATCCTGTTATTCAGAGTACTGTAGTTTTCAACGTAAGGGTCTTTTACTTCCTTCGTTAGATTGATTTCTCGGTGTTTCACTTTTTTGGATGCTATTGTGAAAGGTGTTGTTTCCCTAAATTGTCTCTCAGTGAGTCTGTTATTTGTGTACAGGAATGCTATTGATTTTTAAGTGCTGACTTTTTATCCAGCTACACTACTGAATTTGGTTATTAAATCTAGAAGTCTTTTGGTGGAATTTTTGGGGTTTTCTATGTAGAAGATCATGTCAAATAATGATAATTTAACATTTTCCTTTCCTATCCTTATTCCTCTTATTCCTTTCTCTTGTATAATTGCTCTAATGTCTCTAATTGAGTAAGACTGGTGATAGTGGACATCCTTGTCTTGTCCCTGATTTTAGAGTGAAAGCTCTCACTTATCATGATGCTGGCTGTTGTGTTGGTTTGTCATAGATGACTTTTATCAGATTCAGATAAAGAGTATCTATTCCAATTTTCTGTAGGATTTTTATGACAAATGGTTGTTGAGCTTTGTCAAATGCTTTCCTCGAATCTATTGAGATAATAGTATTTTTTTTTAATCTTGGCTCTGTTAATATGGTTTATTACATGTATTGATTTGTATATACTGATGCATCCCTGCATCCCTAAGATCAATTCTGTTTGGTCATGGTGTATAATCTTGATGATCTGCTGCATTCTGTTTGCCAGTACCTTATGGAGGACTTTTGTGTCTATGTTCATTAAGGAGATTGGCTTGTAGTTCTCTTTTTTTTGGTATCAGGGTAATGCTTGCTTCCAGAGATGAGTTTTGGAGTACTGCTTCCCTTCCAATTTCAATTAAAGAGTTTGAGAAGTAGTGGCATTAGGTCTTCTCTAAATTTCTTGTAGAATTCAGCAGTGAATCTGTCAGGGCCTGGATGTGAGTCTTTTCGTTCCTTTTTTGATAAGGTTGGCCAAGGGTTTGTCAATTTTATTTAATCTTTCAAAGAACCAACTCTTTGGTTCATTTATTCTTTGTATTGTTTTCTTAGTTTCCACTGTATCAATTTCTGCTCTGATCTTTGTAATTTCCTCCCTCATAAGCCTTTTGGCTTGACTTACAGTTCTTTTTCTTGAAGCTTGAGGTTCAACATTAGGTTGTTTATTTAAGGTCATTCTGTTTTTTTTTTTTTTTTTTTGTACCAGGGATCGAACTCAGGTCCTTGCACTTTCGCAGAAGGCGGCAAAACCACTGAGCTAAATCCCTGGCCCTCACTCTGTTTTTCTGACAAGAGACTTCACTGCTATAAATTTCCCTCACAGGACTGCTTTCATTGCATCCCATAAGTATGTTATACTGGCATATAATTTAATTGTAGAAACTGTCAAATTTATTTTTTAATTTCATCTGTGACCCATTGGTTGTTCAGGAGGGTGTTACTTAATATCCATGTGTTTATGAAGTTTTTGTGGTTTCCTTTGCCAATGATTTCCAATTTCATTGTGCAATGTTCTGATAATATGCATGGGATAATTTCAGTTCCTTTGCATTTACTTAAGCATGTTCTATGAGGTAATATGTGATCTATTTTGGAGAATATCCCGTGTGCAGCTGAGAAGAATGTGTATTTTGATATTGTGGCATGGAACACTCTGTAGACATCTACTAAGTCCATTTGTTCAAAAGTCTGGTTCAGTTCTGATATTTCTTTGATTTTTTTTGTCTAGTTGATCTGCCTATATGCAACAGTAGGGTATTGAGGTCCCTCATTACAACAGTATTAGTGCTTATTTAATTTTTCATGTTCATTAATATTTGTTTTATATTGGTGGGTGTGGTGGGTTTTGGTGTATATATATATTTATGACTGTTATCTCTTCCTCTTGGATTGTTTCTTTTACAAGGATGTAGTGGCTTTCTTTGTCTCTCTTGATCAGTCTTGGTTTGAAATCCATTTTGTCAGCAAATAGAATAGCTCCTTCTGCTTTTTTCTGTGTTTCTATCACATGGAATATTGTTTTCCATCTTTTGACTTTCAGTCTATGAATTTCATTTTGAATTACATGTGTTTCTTGTATGCACCACAACTGATTCTTGTTCCATTCTGTCAGTCTGTTTCTTTTGATTGGTGAATTGAGACCATTTACATTGATGGTTATAAATGATATGTATTGACTTATCCTTGTCATGTTATAGTCCTGTTGTTTGTTCCCCTTTTCTCTATCCTCTGTTTAATCCACTTGCCTTGCATGGTGGATTCATTCTGTTGAGGTTCTTGGAGTTCTAGTCCTTGTTCTGTCTTTCTGGAATGTCCTTCAGAACATTTTGGAGTGCTGGTTTGGTGGTCTTCAGGTATTCTTTGCCATGGAAGTATCGTATTTCTCCCATCAATTTTGAAAGATAATTTTTGCGGGGTACATCAATTTGGTTGGAGCTTGTTTTCTTTTAGGGCTTGAAATACTTCACTCCAAGCTCTCCTTGGGTTTGTGTTGAGAAGTCTGCTGTCATTCTGATGGGCTTTCCTTTATATGTGATTTGTCTTTTCTCTAAAAGCTTTTAATAGTCTGTTCTTGTGTTGAATTTCTGGAATCTTCACTATTGTATTGTCTTGATGTAGTTTGTTTTTTTTTTTGGTCATGGGTCATTGGAGTTCTATATGCCTCATTATCTGTGTTAAATTCTCTTTCCATGCTTTAGATGTTTTATGCCATTAGTTCTGTGAACAGGTTTTTTATGTTGTTTGCTCTATCTCCTGCTTTTTCTTTGACTCTGATCAGTCTTATGTTATTCTTCTTTGCATCATCTATCAGCTGTTGGATTGATCTTTCTTAGTCCCTTGTAATTTTTAAGAAATTTTCCTTTTCAGGATTGCTAGCTACACTCCTGTCTTTTAGATCAGATATTCTCTCTTTACATTAGCTCATTCTGCTGGGTATACTTTCAATGGAATTTTTAATCTCCTGGATATCTGTTTGAATCTGTTTCATGGATTCCATTTCTTTCCTATGTTGGGAGTTCATGGTTCCCATGATTTTCCTAAGCTCCTCTATTTTTTATGTGGATCTGCTCTAGAGTCACTAACCATGTCTTTCATTATGGTCACCATCTCTGTAGTTGTCTGAGAGATTATTTCTGAGTTTTTCTAGACCCTCATTCATCTGCTTTCATCTGCTTTGTTACTTCTGCCATTACCACATGAGAGCGTCCAGGTGGATGGCTTTCAAATTGTTCCCTCTCATTTCCCCATAGCTTTGCCTTTTGTGAACCTAAAGTCTGAGGTTTCATCTTGCTTAACTGTTTTTAATTTTCTACTTTTTTTTTTTTAGTTTAATTCCTGGGTTGATGCTTGTAAATTGCTTATGACAGGTAGCTTTATTGCTAGTAGTTAGAATCCTTAGAAAATGACTACTTCTCAAAGATGTCTTCCAGGTATAGATGGCTTTTGGGTTTTGAGTCTGTTCTAAGATCCTGCCTCTTCAATTTATTGGGAATGAGAAGTTGCTACATATTTAACCTAGCCTCTAATTCTTGGGAACTGGCCTAAAGTAGTGTTTATGACTCTTACTCAATCTCAGTCTTGGCACAGTAAGAAGAACAATTGATTAGCACAATTATGTCACCTTGGCTCAGCTATAACAACAGCATCAAACACAGCCTAGAATATGACAAACTGTAGTAACTATTAATTTGGCACCTTTAACCATATGAACTCTATTTGGGGTTATTGAACAAAATCTAAAGCAAACCAGAAAATTGTATACAGTAAATATGCCCTCAATATGACAATTTTACCCTCAGGGGAGAAAATTTAAAAAGGGTTGGGGGAAAAATAGAGAAATACCAGAGGAAGAGAGTAGAAGCAAGGCTGGAGACAAAGGAAGACCTTGCAAACTTTGGGAAACTTGTGAAGAAATACAGATTTCTGATAGAAATTACCTTTACTTGAATTCCAAAAGTAGGATCATCTGTTTACAATTATTCCTAAATGCAATATAATACTGAGATTCACAATTTTAAGACAGAGTAGCTAAAATTTGGACTTATCAATTTGCCAATGTCTATCTGCTTGTAAGAGGCCTCTGCCAACATTTATGTCTTCCTGTATTTGCCCCAAATCCATCTAGATCAATTTTATGAAAAAAATGAAGTGTTTCGTTTGAGTCTTCTCTAAAATTCTTTATCTCCCAAATATTTGCATCAACTTAGTTAAGAAAGTATAAATAAGTAGGTGAAGCAAAATATTAAAATATGGGGCCGGGGATTTAGCTCAGTGGTTCTGGTGCCTGCCTCGCAAGTGCAAGGTCCTGAGTTCAATCCTTGGTACCCCCCCCAAATTAAAATATGTATTGTAGTAAATCAGAAAGCCAGATAGTTCTTTTTAAGTTTAAAGTTCCAATGGCTTCATATACAAGGATCTTTACAGTAAATAAAAGTTAGAAAATATTGATTTCACACTGAGCAGAGTACACAAAACAGTTAAAACAGCTTAACAACGTTGCTGGGTTTTGATCAAGTTTCAGGTTTGATCATACAATTTTATATCATAGGCTTCTAATTACTGGTACTATTCAGAATAGTTATAAGAATTTTCTACTTGATCAACTGACATCCTAAAACAAGAACAACAATAAAACAAAACACAGAACCTTTGGTTTTTAGATCAAATATCAATAAGAGTCATCATAAATGGCTTATTAATGCATTCTAGAAGAAAACAACACTTCTAACATCATTAAAAGATCAGCTCACAGGCTGTGTCAAAGACACTCAAATTGACAGGTTAAGAAACACTGCTGAGGCTACAGAACTCCTACCAAGGTCTGGCTTCCTCACATTACCTGAGGTGTGATTTGCTGCTGCATGCCTGATCTCATATTAATGCCAACCGGAGCAGCTGCTGCAAACTGGTTCAAGATAGCTTGCCGATTTTGGTGTATCAACTAAGAAAAATGGAAATAAGGAAAGATCATATTTGTATATGCAGGCATAGCATGGCCTTATATAGCAACACAAATTTTTATTGATTTCTAAAAAGTTTTAGTGTGGTAGATTCAGTAACATTATTTCCCATGTTTATATGCCAAAAGACTGATTTCTAGTACTTATTAAATACTGCCTTCACAGCACTAAATGTGGAGGAACATTTAAAAATAGAAAACATGCATATATATATATATATATATATA